TTTGAGAGGGAATAGGTCACAGAGGGGTGATGAAAGAGGCCAGTGTGGACCATGCTGAGCTTGGGATATTTGAGATCTGGACTTGAAGAAATCGGGTTTGAGCCCCGAAACACAGAGTGTGAAAGATGGGGTAGAGGAGAGAAGAGAACAGGATGGGGATGGGGGAATCCAGAGTCCACAGGCCCTATGAGAAGACACTATCACTTAGGGCAGGGCTTCTTAAACTTGCCCACTTGTGATTTCTTTGGGAAAAAAATCTCTGCATGACCCCAGGTATAGGGGTATAAAAAGTAGGGATACAAATCAAGCATGTATTGATAAGCCTCAACTTCTCTCCATGACTCTAATCCTGGGGTTCCAAGTGACGCTGAACCTTCACTAATGGCTTCTCACAGCGCCAAGCCTCAGCTGATCCTATGACCCCCTCATGCCTTTAGAATCAGTACAACGTGGGCGATTCTTACACCTTCGCAAGCTCGGCTGTGAAGAAGCAAGCCTGCAATGCAGCCCTGGCCCACTCTGGACCACCGCTTCTGCGTGCTGACCCTGAAGAAACACTCCCAGATGTCACCTCGGTGACGCTGGGCTCTTAATCCTCAGCCTCAGCTGAGCCACAATTCTTAATTCAAAATATCCCACGAAAAGCTTCAGTAGGGTCTTTGAAACGGTCTCAAACTTCCCTCTGGAACTTCCCAAGCCAGACCTCCATCATCTGCCGTGGTCGCAGCGTTATCTTCCAAGTTCTCCCACAGCAGCTCCTTAGGCTCAGAACACACAACAGCTTTTCAAACCCAGAGTTCCAAAATCCTTCCCAATCCCTCCGTAGCAATGTGGTCAGGCCTGCCACGGCGTCAATTCACACTCTGGTGCCAATCTCTGGCTTAGGAAAACTTTCTGTTGCTGTGATGAAGACCATGTCTAAAAACAACGTGGCCGGGAAGGAGAGACCTTATCTCTCCTCTCAGGTCGCAGACCGCTGTGAAGGGAAACCTGGAGGCAGAAACAGAAGCCGAGGCTGTGGGGGAAGCATTGCTCATTTGCTTGCCGTCCCTGGGTTGCTCACCACTTTATGATTATTATGATTATGATTATTATTATTAATTACAATTTATTCACTTTGTATCCCAGCTGTGGCCCCCTCCCTCGTCTCCTCCCAATCCTGCCTTCCCTCCCTCTTCTCCTCCCATGCCCCTCCCCTAGGGGAGGTCCTCCTCCCCTTCCATCTGACCCTAGCCTATCAGATCTCATTGGACTGGCTGCATTGTCTTCCTCTGTGGCCTGGCAAGGCTGCACCCCAGAGGGGGAGGTGATCAGAGAGCCTGCCACTGAGTTCATGCCGGAGACAGCCCCTGCTCCCCTTACTAGGGAGCCTTACTGGGGAACCCACTGGAGCTCACCACTTTTATGCCACCCAGGATCATCTCTCCAGGAATGACCCTGCCCACAATGGGCTGGGCTCTCCCATATCAATCATTATTCACAAAAACACCCTAGAGAATTACCCACAGGAAGTGTGATGGCATCATAGTCTCAGTTGACCTTTCTCTTCCAAGATGATTCTAGATTGTGGACCAAAACCAACCAAGGCATTTAAAAAAAGACATTTATCTTTAAATAATTCATATATATATTTGAGATTCCTAATAAATAGGCTCCCATCCTGTTTCCTCTCTTGCAGGTGGCTATCCTGTTTACTTTCTGAATGAGAATTAAACATCTTCCCTAGGGTCCTCCTTGTTTAGCTTCTTTAAGTCTGTAGATTTTTAGTATGTTTATCCTATATTATATGGCTAATATCTGCTTACGGGTGAGTAAATACCATGAGTGTCTTTCTGGTTCTGGGATACCTCCCTCAGGATGATCTTTCTAGTTCCATCCATTTGTCTGCAAATTTCATGATTTCCTTGTTTTTAATAACAGAGTAGTATTCCATTTTGTAAATGTACCACAATTTCTGTATTCATTCTTTGGTTGAGGGATATCTAGGTTGTTTTCAGATTTTGGCTATTATGAATAAAGCTGCTATGAACATAACTGAGCAAATGTCCTTGTTGTGTGGTAGAGCATCTTTTAGTTATATGCCCAGGAGTGGTATAGCTGGGTCTTGAAGTAGCGCTGTTCCCAGTTTTCCGAGAATGTCCCAGATTGATTTCCAAAGTAATTGTACAAATTTGCACTCCCACCAAAAATGGAGGAGGGTTTCCCTTTCTCCACATCCTCTCCAGCAAGTGTTGTCATTTGAGTTTTTGATCTTAGCCATTCTTATGGGTGTAAGATGGAATCTCAGAGTCATTTGAAAGACTCCACCCAGTAGGGGACCAAAGCAGATGCAGAGACCCACAGCCAAACTTTGGGCAGAGCTCAGGGAGTCTTATGGAAAAAAAGGGGGATAAAAGGACATGGAGGGGACAGGAACTTCACAAGAAGACCAACAAAGCCAAAATTCTGGGCCCAGGAGGGCCATCAGAGACTAATGGATCAACCAAGGACCATGCACAGAGAGGACCTATACCCCCTGCTCAGATGTAGCCCATACGCAGTTCAGTCTCCATGTGGGTTCCCTAGTAAGGGAGCAAGAGATGTCCCTGACATGAACTTGGTTGCCTGCTCTTTGATCACCCCTGGGGGGTGCAGCCTTGCCAGCCTACAGAGGAAGAGGATCCAGGCATTCCTGATGAGACTTGATAGGCTAGGATCGGATAGTAGCAGAGGGGGACTCCTTTTTAGTGGATTAAGGGAGGGGAATAGAGAGGGAAGAAGGAGGGAGGGTGGGAATGGGAGGAGAGAGAGGGGGGCCACAATTGGGATATAAAGTGAATAAATTGAAAAGGAAAAAAAAAAGTTAATTCCCAGAAAGTCCCTTGATTCTTGGGAGAAGACTTCATTGCCCTCTGCTGGAGATCATTGGCTTTGAGCAGGGTACACAGTAACTCACTGGCCACAAGCTTTTGATTCAGGATTTCGAGTCAACCAATGAGGTCCTGGTAAAAGAAGCTTTTTATAGATATTTTCTGTATTTTTTTTTCACCTGGGATTGCTGTCTAGCACACATTGTAGGGACATTTTGATTCATTGTACTTGAAGTGCAATTCTTTTGACCAAGTAAATTCTGTTACATGACACCTTGTCACTCTTTCATTTTGTCATTAATGATATTGAATATTAATCCAAGTTTTTACTGAAAAACGTTGGCCTGGTAGATTTTCTTTAGATAGGCATATTCCCAACACATGAATTGCAATGAGTGAAAACTTTACCTGTTATTAATGATGTATACGAAGAGCAAGAAGATTTGAGTTTTACTTTAAAGGATGTCTGTCTTGAAATAGGTGGTATGATGCTATGAAGGGGGAATGGGAAAATATGGATGTAGGAGAGGGAACGAGAATGGTGTTTGAAGATGTTGGGAAGGGGCAGCTAGAGAGATGGCTCAGAGGTTAAGAGCACTGGCTGCTCTTCCAAAGGACTCAGGTCTGGTTTTCAGCACCCGCCCTGAACTTCACAATCTTCTGCAACTCCAGTTCTGGGGGACTGATTCCCGCTTCTGTCCTCTGCCAGCCATGGCACACACCGGTACACAGACAGACAAGCAGGCACTATTCACACACATGTACAAATAGATCAGTCATAGCAAAGGCCTGGAGAGACTGCTCAGCAGCTAAACTCACTGGCTGCTCTTGTAGAGGTCCCAGGTTCCGTTCCTAGCACAGATTCATACCTGGTATCCTAGATCTAGCTGGCTACCCATGCCTAGATGGAGTGACATATATAGTCCTTTAAAAAATCCCCTTCTGCACGGAGGCCTGTGCTAAAGCTCAGGCTTGTTTCATTCAGCTGAAGCAAATGAGGCCATTTTTCTGTAAATCATGGCAAACTGCTGTAAGCACGGGCTGTAGTCCCTCTTCCTGACCCCGTATCGCTCTGACTACACTTCATCTTGCTCCATCCACCACAAAGTCTCATTTGCTTTAGCTTAATGTAACAAACTCAAGGCCAGCCTGGTCCGCGACAGCCAAAACTACATAGAAAACCCTGTCTCAAAACAAAACAAACGAAAACCAAACAACAACAAAAATCTGCAAGTTTTTAAGCCTCTTCTATTAGCCTTCAGTCTCTCTCTCTCTCTCTCTCTCTCTCTCTCTTCTCTTTCCCTTCTTCTGTCCGTCCCTCCCTCCCCCTCTCTGTTTCTTTTTCGCTTTCATATATTCTGATTCCTTCTCATAAACATAAGGCATTATCCCAGATTATTTTCTTCTGACATTCCTCTCGTCCTCTCCCCTCCATAGCACTGCTTTTCTCTCCACTCTGATGTGGTCTGGGAATCCTCTGTGTCCTGTCTTTTCATTTATTTGTTCTGTTTGTGTGTATTTATCGATGTTTTATAATTTTATCTTCCTTGTTGCCAGTTGTTAATCTGTTGAGTTTCTATGACAGTTGAAAAAAACATTTTAAAGTTTTATTGGTTTTTCAAGACAGAGTTTTCTGTGTATCCCTGGCTGTTCTGGCTGTAGACCAGGCTGGCTTTGAACTCACAGATCTACCTGCTTCTGCCTCCCAAGTGCTGGGATTAAAAGCATGAACCACAACTACCTGGCCTGAAAACAGCATTTTCAAAATGATTCTTATTTTTGTTTTATGGGTGTTTGTGTTCAGCTTCTTGGGCATATGTGTATCATGTGTATGTCTGGTGCCTGTGGGGTCAGAAAAGGGTGTTAGATCCCCTGGAACTAGAGTTAGAAATGGTTGAAAGACAACATGTGGGTTCTGGAAACTGAACTCAGGTCCTCTGGAAGAACAGCAATTTTTTCCAGCCCAAAGGAAGTTTCTTGTAGTTAAGTATTGTCCTTACACTTGGAAATGTTATCTGGGCATATTTGAAATCAATACTTATTTTTATTGGCAAACTGAATAGAATCTGATTTAAAGAGCAGAGAGTACTCAACATGAAGATTCTTTTGCTGTGGGCAGCTGTGTGAGTAGTCCTTGCCATGTTTCCATGTTTATTTCATCTTGCTCTTGATGGGGTCTTGATAGTCTGAAAAGATAACCGGAGTTGGGATCGGCAGGAGAATCCACCATGGCCTGCAACATTTCCATCTTCTCCGGCAACCACCGATTTCATCTTCTATCAGTTTGCAAACGTCTCTTCTACAGATGCCCTCCAGACCCACGCAGGTCATGTCAGCCGCAGCTAAGCCGCTTCTAACTGCAGAGAGGACCAGGAAAGCTGTGAGTCCAGTGCATGAACGTCAAAGCCCGAGCGCTCACACACCCCAGGAAAAGGAGCCAGGTCAAAGATCCTCCTACCAGCTCCTCCACACTGACCCCACAGTCACCCTCTCTCCCCTTCTCCCAACAGCTCACTTATTCACAGCTTGCACCTTGGTTTTCCTATAAACACAGGAAAAGTCTAGATAAAGCTTCAGAAGTTACTGTCTTAAATATCAGACAAATTCTCCATGTCAACAAATTCTCCATGTTCCCTCACCAAACTGTTTTCTTCATAATAATAGAACAGTACGAATACCATAAAGCTTTCCTTATTTACACAGAGGTTACATTTGATGGAGAAAATACCAAAACAAAACAAAACAAAAACAAACAAAACAAAACAGCTGGAGTAATGAGGTGATTCAAAAAGTGGCAAATGCTTTGAGCAAAATAATACAGCATTGAATCAGATATACCCTGAGGGATAGACCCGAGAAGGCTGACAGAGATGGCTTTCTGCGGAAACAAAAACAATAAGAAAATATCCAAGTAAAAGGACAATGAGCCGGGTGTGGTAGCGCACGCCTGTGATCCCAGCCCTCGGAGAGGCAGAGGCAGACAGATCTCTGTGAGTTCAAGGCCAGCCAGGTCTACAAAGCTTTGCCCAGATAAAACGAAGAGACTGGCTGACTTTATGTGTAAATATGAACTAATAATATTCAGCCTCGTATTATATAACATTATATGTATGTATCATTTAAAATAATAATTTTATTGTAAATAGAAAAGATGTGTTCGTGTGTAGTTGGGTGGCAGGAGGAAGAGCCAGCTGCCATTGATGGAGATGAGAAGAGAGTCCTAAATTTCAAACAGACATCTGAAGGTGGAGTGTGATGCCTTTCTTTTTCTTTTAGCATCTCCAGGGTGTCAGTCACACTCTGACTCCCCCTTTCATGACCTTCTAGTGAGTGTTCATAAGATATATAAGCAAGTAAGAGAACTGCATGTGGCAGGCATGCAGCAGATATTCCAATTCAAGGCCTTACTTGGAGATTATTAAAAACTTGGAGTCTCAGTAACAACATCCACCCCTGTAAAGGGAACACGGGGGCAGAAAAAGAAAAAAAAATCTCTCTCTTTAGTTACAGATGTACAAGTAGAGACTAAGAAGGTCTGATGACGGGCAGAGACAGGACACACTCTGGGTATGAGGCCTTATACCCCAAATGGAGTGAGGAACCCCAACAGAGCCCTTCTGGAGTGCAGCAATGGAAAATCCCTGAAGATGAGTGGAGATGCTGTGGCAGAAGCTAAGGAGGAGCCATCAGTGTGGCAGGCTGAGAATCAAGTGCAGCTTCTACCCTGGAACAGAATGCGTTGGTATGGCATATCATGAATAAGGGAGGGCCTGACTTTGGAAAATAGGCCAACAGGCTAAGTTAACAATTATGAATGGCTGGTTGGGCCAACAGCATGATGATTATTAATGATTTGTGCAGGGAGAGACTGAAACAAGAAGGGCAGAGACAAAATAGAGGCCTGGAACATGCTGATTTCTTCTTTCTTCACTCCTTTATACAGAATGTCAACAAATTCTCCATGTTCCCTCACCAAACTGTTTTCTTCATAATAATAGAACAGTACGAATACGATAAAGCTTTCCTTATTTACACAGAGGTTACATTTGATGGAGAAAATACCAAAACAAAACAAAACAAAAACAAACAAAACAAAACAGCTGGAGTAATGAGGTGATTCAAAGACAAAATCAATGAGTGGGCAAAGACAAAATCAATTTCAGTAACAAAGTGGGAGGGCTGGGAGGTATTGATGGGGATATATTTAAGAGAGAATGAAAAGGGATGGTTTCAAGATCAAGACTACAGGCCATGGTTTGAAGGTGTTTCCTACAAAACAGAACAGGAAAAGCAAGGAGATTCTCTTTTAAGATCAGATAAACAATAACATATTTGTATCTTGGTGATGATAATCCAATAAGAATATGATTAATGTAAAAATCATTGATACAATGAACTGTGGCAGAAAGAGACCTGAATATACAAGAAGAGATAGAATATGTTATACACATTTATAATAAACCTAATTTTTGTTTAAGTCTTGGGAGCACCTATTGTGATAGCAACTCAATCACTTGTAAAATAGCTCTTTTAAGTATGACCTAATCTTTTTTTGATCAATATTACCAGATTACTACAAAGTATACTGTTCTTTCAACAAATCTTTTTAAAAACAAAGAGAGGGGTAAGGCAAGGGGCATTCCTGTTTTAGATCATCAAGATGTAGCCAGACTTCCTTATTGAATGTACTGTAGAATGTTGGCCCAATGAAGAGAGAACTCATTCTTGTCATTCACCATGGTATCCTCCTCATCTGGAACAGTTTCTGGCTTGGGGTAGACTACAGTACTCTAGACTGACTCAGTGATTATATGAATAAATTCTTATGAGTCACTTGTAAAAACAAACAAACTTTTTTGTTTTGCTAATCTTTTGTTTCCTTTGTTTCTTGTGTTTATTTTCTCTTTCTTGTTTGGATTTATTATTATATCTTTTCTAAATTCACACAATCCCTGCTCAGCCTACTAAATTTTGGTGATCATTCACCATTCTTCACACCCATCCTTACATTTTTAAGTTGCCATGTGTAAGCCTGTTATGCACGAAGACATTACAGCTTGGTGGTTTTGCTTATTATTTGTTTGTGGTTCTTTTTCTATTCTCCTTCCATAGGTTCATTTTGCAATGTATTTGTAATGTATAACAACTTTCACAAAGTGTGTTACCTAGGGTTTTGTTGGTTTGTACTTTGATCGATCTCACAAAGCCAGTAAATTCCCCTGCTAACTTTTTGTTGTCTAACAAGGATTCCAACTTTTCACTTGTTTTGGGATAATATTCATTTTGTATATTTATCTCTTCTCATAAAATTTCCATGTCTTTGTGACTCCTATTCAACACTAGCTTTTCTTGATGAGATTCCATCCTCTCTTCTGAGACAGTGGCTGTCATCATAGATGCTGCTGCAAATGTCCTAGAAGATCTAAGCATCTACAAAGAAAACCCCATGCCTCCCCCAAAAACTCCAGAGACACAAAGAAAGGCTGTCGTACAATGTGACCTCATTGGACATTTGGGTTAATGGTAGTGTATGTCTATTTTTACCCTGACATAATCTTGGTGGAACTGTTGATATTGGGTTTCTGAAACTGTGAAATTAATTCATTTCTAACCTTCCAGAGAGACTTTTGAACTGAATATGCCCCATAATTAGCTACCAACTTACCTGGAGGTAAGAGGGTCAAGAGGAAGAGTAGAGTATAGAGAAGTAGATAGAGCCTCATGGCTGAAGGGTCTGTGAAATGAAGATGTAGAGACCTTTGTAGCAGGAATCTTGAAGTATGGCAGATTCAGGGCTTTTTATGATGGTCCTGGCTCTGCGGTTTGTTCTTGGCTAGTAGAGCCTAACCAACAGAGAATAACTTATTCTCCCACATGAAATCTTCAGACACACAAGAGGACATAACTGTGGCAATTACTCAATGGAGAAAAAAACAGTATACCCAAAAGAACGAATATAAGTGATAAGGGAAAGAATGGAGTAAAAAAAAAAGAATACCTACTTTCAATACTTACTGTACTATAAATCCACAATAATTAAGATATATCACAGAGGAGTAAATCAATACATCAGTAGAAGAAGATTAAAGTCCCAGAATTAGAGTTACCTTGTTTGTTTGTTGACAAAAACCAAAGATAACTCAATGGAAAAAAAAAAAAAGACAAATTTTTCAACAAATAGTACTACAGCAAAACTTGAAACCCACATTTAGAACTATGTATCTAAAGACATATCTAATAACTGTCACAAAAATTAAGATAGATGGTATTTCTCAACATAAAACACAGAGTCGTGTGATGCCTAGAAAACAATTTTGGAAAATATCTAGGTTACTTAACTTTTGGCATTGGCCTTTTAAAAAAATAAACTACAAAAGCATGACATATGAAAAGTAGAATTGACAACTTAGACTTCATTAAAAATTAACACCTTTTCTTCTCTGAAAAGCACTCTAAAGATATAAAGAGAAGGAATGGATTTGGAGGGAAGCCTTTATAAAATATCTAATAAAGTTCTGATATCCAAAACACACAAACGATGCCTAAAGAAACAATAAAAAAGCAAGCAACACAAAATTAGATCAAAAGAATGAGCAAGCATTTTGCCAGTGATGGCCAGTAAGTAAATGTGCTGAAAAAGAAAAAGAGAAGAAACCCCACATTAAAGTAAAATACCACCAGAGACCAAATGGCCCAAACCTGTAGTACTAGCCCTAACTGAATATCAGAAATGGTGTGAAGAAAAGAAAGAGGAATGTTCACTCATTACAGATAGGACACAAATACAACCGTACCATTGAGTAAAAATGATTAGCAAAATTTACCTTTACAATATTAAATCCTTGGAATTTACCTAAACAGGAAATTTAAAACTCATACAAAAGCTGCACATGAACTATAACTAACAGCAGCTTTTTTATAATTGCTCAAAATTTAAAAAGCTAGCAAAATATTTTCCAATAGACATCCAGATACAGGAAACATTTAGAGTCCAACCAACATGACTAAAAAAAAGAACTGCTCTAGAACACATTATAGTTAAAACATCAAAAATTAAGGCAAAAGAGAAAATTTAAAGCTGTGAAAAAGAAAATCCAAGTCATAGATAGAGACATTGCAATCATAAACAACACGCAATTTCTCACCAGAAATTATAAGACTCAAGAGGCATGGGATGATGTGGTTCAGGCACTGCTAAAGAATGACAGTCATACTAAAATACTATATTTTACAAAGCTATCCTTCAAAATTGAATAAAAAGTAAAGACTTTCCACAAAGTGAGACAATTATAACCACTAAACTAACATCACATATAATACTGGAAGAAATCTAGATGCAAAAGAAAAATAAGATAAACACCACCCTTAAGTACATGAGAAAGAGTAAGTACACCAGAAGAACAGTCCAGCAAATGAGAATTGGGAAGAAGCCACAAATACTTGAATGAAATGCCAAACACCCAAGATGAATGAAAGAAAAAAAAATGAATATAATTAAGGAAAAAAAAGAAGAAAAACTAAAAAAAAAAAAAGGCAGAAACCAGTACATACCTTTTAATAATAACCTTGAATATAAATGGTCTCGATTCTGTAATTGAAAGATGTAAAGTGGTTGATTTGATTTGGGGGGGAAGGGGTTGAAACAGGGTGTCTCTGTATAGCTTTGGCTGTCTGGACACACATTGTAGACCAGGCTGGCCTCAAACTCACAATGATTTGCCTGCCTCTGCCTCCCTGAGTGCTAAGATTAAAGGCTTACATCACCACGCCCAGCTTTGATTTGATTTTTTAATAAATAAATACATTTCAACAACTTGCTGCCTGCAAGAAACTCACCTAACTGATCACAGTAGTCTCAGACTGCATATGGAAAGAATGGAACTTTGTATCCAGGTAAACAGAAGACAAAAGCAAGCTGAAGAAATCATATTCATAACTAGTATAGCAGACTTCAAGGCAAAATCAGTCAAAAGAGACAAAGAAAGTCATCATATATAGGTAGAATGATTGGACAAGAAGGTGCGAAGTGCATGTGTATGTGTGTGTACATACATAACATCATATATAAAAATGATGTCAGTCTACAAAATTTTATAAAAATAGGATACTGGGCATAAATCATTAAATAAGTTCAATATATTACTAGTGAGTGATTCAATTCTTCTCTTTCATCAATAGATGTATATCCAAACAAAACAATTAGCAAGGAAACCCTGAAGTTAAACACCATATTAAAAGGACTAAACAGACATCCACAGAATATCCCATTCAATAGTCCCAGAATACAAATTTCATCAGCTCATGGAACTTTTTTCCAAAAATATCATGTCTTCAACCATGAATCAGATCTGAACAAACAGCAAAAAATATATAATTTCTTGCATCTTATTGGATCATGACTGAATTAAACTAAAAATAAACAGCAGGAGAAAGTTACAGAATTTTTTTAACACATGGGGATTACAATTACATCCTTGAAAAGTGTTGCTGGAAAAAAATGAGAGAAATTAGGTTTCCAGAGTCAAAAGGATGGAAATGCAACACACCGAAACAAAAAAATGCAATGAAAATATTCCTCAGAGGAAGGCTCACAGACATGAGTGTTTGCATTTATAAGATAGAAGGATATCAACTGAATAACCTGTGGTTTCCCTCAAAATCTCAAGGAAAGAGCCAATGAGATGGCTCAGCAGATGAAGATGCCTGCTGCCAGGCCTGCCGACCCAAGTGGAAGATGAGAACAGACAACCGCCAGTTGTTACCCTCTGACCTCCACATCACTGTGGCACACACACCAAACAAACAGACAAAACACAACACAAACAATGAATTCAGCAAATAGCAGGACACAAAACTAATAGCTTTCACTACATACGAATTGTACGGAAAAGAGTCAAGATGACAATACCATTAACAACAAGGGCCACGCCCGTACCCTACCTTGCAAAAAATAAAGAAAAGTACTCATGAATAATCCTAACCAAGGAGATGAGATATTAATGCAAAGAAAATTCTAAGATGATGAGGAAAGCAAACATGTAGACAAATTTAAACTATATTAAAATAGAAGATTCATTAAAAAAAAAAAAAAAAGACCGCACATAAACTACCTGGAAAGATGGGCTTCGCACATGCTGACAAGTGGACCAGATGCCTGCCTCTCAGAGTCAACTCCATGTAACATGTGACGTTTCTAAAAAAAATAACGTGGGCAAATAATCATGATATTGGTACAGGAAGAGGCATACTTCTAAATAGGACACTAATAAGGAAATAAAAAGAATTGACAAATGAACTTGCATCAAATTCAAAACCTTCCATATAGCAAAGGAATCGGTTTCTAAAATGAAGAAAAACCCCTGAGGCAGGTGAAATGGCTCAGCAAGTAAAGTTGCCACTCAGCCCTGACAACCTGAGTTCAATCCTCAGGATCCACATGATGGAAGAAAATAAAAAAAACCTCATGCAACATTTTTAAACCATTAATAATAATTATTAATTAATATTAATTAATAATTAATATTAATTAATAATATAGATAATTAATTAATGATAATAATTAATAATTATTATTTTGTTTTTTTTAAGACAGGGTTTCTTTGGGTAGCTCTTGCTGTCCTAGAACTCATTCTGTAGACCAGGCTGACCTCAAATTCAAGAGATTCATATGCTTTCGCCTCCTGAGTGCCGGGATTAAAGCTGTGTGCCACCACCATGCAAGAAAAAAATATATATGCAGGGAAAAAAGAAAAGAAAAGAAAAATATGCAGGATGTGTAAAAACTCCTTGCTGTAAATTCATTCATCAGAGGATTAATAACCAAAATATATAAAAAATTTTAAAAAGGTAACACGAGAAGAAGAAACAATCTGGTCACTAAAAATGGACACAAGAACTGATAGACACTTCTCGATTGTTGAATACGCTCAATAATTACATGGAGAAGTGTTCAACATCTTTAGCCACCAGCAAAGTGTGAATTGAAACTACACTTGCATTCCTTTTACCCCGGTCAGAATGTCATCAACAACAAAAACAACAATAAAAAAAAAAAAATGCAATGCTGAAGAGGTTTCAAGGGTCGGGTAGGGATGAGTATTTATAGGTGATTGTTAGGATAACTGTAATGGATATCAGCATAGAGGGTCCTCAGGAAGCCAAAAATAGAATCACCGCATGATCCAGCTGTAGCCTCCTTGGATATGTATCAAGAGGAACAAACCCAGCATATGCTGTTGAGATCCGCATACACATGTCTATCATACACTCTTCATATTAGCCAAGGAAACCAGCCTAGGTATGCAATGATTTGAATAAGAAATGTTCTTCTTAGACCTAGGTGCTTGAACACCATATCCTGAGTTGGTGATGCTGTTTTGAGGTGGGGACGGGGTTAGGCAGTGCAGCCCTACTTGACTAAAGTTTTCAACTGCCGGGAGGGCTTGTGAGAGTTTTAAAGCCTTGGGCTACTTCCCGTTCACTCTCTGCTTCCTGCTTGTTCCCTGAAAATGTGAACACTCACCCTCTTGCCCCTACTGTGCTCTGGTGCTCGTTACTATGCCTCCCTGCACTGGTGTATTTTTATCTCTCTGGAACTCTTCCTTCTGTAGGACACTTCTGCTTATGGTATATTATCGCAGCAACAGAAAAGTCACTGAGACAGTGTCTCTCAGTAGATGACTGTATAAAGAAAACGCAGTTTATGAAGGCAATGGCCATAAAGAAGAACAAAATCGTTCGCTAGAGGAAAATGATGGAACATGAGATGTATGTGTTGGATGAGGTAAGCTCAACAGGATAATTATCCCGTGTGTTCATTCACGTGGCTGCCAAAGAAGAACTAACTTAGAAACTGAAGAGCTGGCTCAACAGTTAAGAGCGCTCTTGCAGAGGACCTCAGTTTATCTGCCAGAACTTGGCTCATGACCCCATGCAGCTCCAGGTTCAGGTGATCTGACATCCCTGGGCACCCACATACAAATGAGCAGACACACATATCAACAACAACAATGTTACTTAAAGAACAAATAAATTTAATTAAGTACATTATTGCATGGATGTCTCACCATTATTGAACAGCTGAAATGTACTTTTAAAACAAAACAGCAAAAGCTTCTGAAAGGATAAAATTTGTCCAGAGAGAGGCGTGGCTCCGCCCCCGTTCTGAGAGGGATCCTAGAATGTTGTCACTGAAAGGACTATTTCTCTTTTTCTGGGCCCTTGATGCAAGTCAGTCTGTGTGTTTTAGGATAAGATTTTAGAACATTCTGTTCGGGTCTCACATCCGGAAGAACCAGAGACTTCACAGTTTAGTCCAAAACCTCAAGGGGCTGATGGAGATTAAATGCCATCAGTGTAGGCAGAATGTGGCTGGAGTTCAAGAGTCAGAACCAGACCCCTGAGCTTCCTGCCCAGGAGAACACAGCAGCTCCTCGTCCATGTTGTCAGAACAGCCTCACACCCCTAAAGATGCCGTAGGTCTGACGTTTGAAATACTTCCAGATACTCGTCCTAAACACTTTTTTCTCTTAATCCTTGTTTTTAAAAATATGTGTTCAAATGTCTTTGCCAGCTCCAAATGTTCTTCAAAAATACTATTATTATTGACTATTTTTTAGGACTACTCATATTTTCTATTTATTTGCATCGCAGGACTGTGTCCATGTCTTCTATATGAGCTACATTTGTCCTTAGCATTCCTTAAGAATTCTTGTTTCTCTAAGTTTGTACTATTATTTTCCATTTTATTCCTGAGTTTAGTAATCTGTGTTTTCTCTTTAAGTTTTTTTTTTTTTTTTTTTGTCAGTGTATTTAGTTTTACCCATTGTTTGGACTTTTAAAAATATCAAATTTGGTTTCTACTTTCTATCCCATCGACTCTTATCCTTTCCTCCTTATATTTTCCTTCTTTTTTTTTTTTCCTGCCTTGAGTATGGTTTTGTGCTTTCCTCCATCTTCTTGGGCTTCCTTGTTATCTCACATAGGCATTGGAGGCCAAACACACCCCTCTTCACACAGACTCAGATATATTCTGCAAAGTCCTAAGCTTTGGTCTCACTTACATTCCATCCAAAAGGCTAATTTCCACTGTAAATTTCTTCTTTGGTTATATTATTTAGAAATACATTGTTTGATTTTCAAATATTTGTTTCAGCCCTACATTTCCTCTCCCTGTTCCTTTCCAGTTTAATTTCATTCAGACTGAAGAACATCCTGTTGGTAAAAGCAGTCCCATGAAGTTTTTCACTACCTGCTTGACCACATAAGAATGAGATAGGTATGCTTCACCGTTGGTATGAAGAAACCACACATCCTGTTCTGGGATTATTGCACTGTGTGGGGGTATCTTTCCGGGTTTCAGACTCAGGATGTACTTTTTTCTGCTTAAGCAGATTTTACAGGTTACAAGCTGCTAAGGCTGTAAAATAACTTGAATGTCTTTGTATGCCGTGCCATGTCCCGCAGCAGAACAGAGGGCTCCTTCTGCAGGCTGCCCCATCTCAATGGCCTCCAGAATTCCTGATCAATTTTAAAGAATGATAATTTCTTAGAATAGGGCCCAGTGCATTTTAAACAAATTCTCTCAATTAATTTTGTTCAGAGCTGTGACTAAGACTCTCCTGCTGCAGAGTCAAGAGATCAGGAGCTATGGAGGTGATGCTGGTGTTGAAAGAAGGCATTTTTTCCTGTCTGTGCCCATACCTCAAGATGCTAGCTGATCTAGAGACTTAGAGCTCAAAGCCAGGCTCCTCCTCACCCTCTCTCAGAGTGCCATTTCAGTACCCCATGTCATTTTCTTGATGACAAAAGCCTTGATAATAAATGACCATGTCATTCAACACCTTCCTCAGGGCAAAAAGGTTCAAGGTTGGTGTCGGAAACAAATCCATATGCAGTATGGTGAGTTGTTCAGGATGAGCAAAGCACTGTGAATGTTTAAACCAAGAATTGGGTGGCTGATTAATTATTAGCAAGTCTAATGATCCTGGGAAGTAGTCACTAGCCAAATACTTAGTCACTTAGTAAGCCAGCAGGCTCCTGGCAGAGCCTAACCCACTGTAATTTATTGTAGACAGCTCTGTGATCAGAAACTTTCATCTGTAACCAAAATGTTTGGAGGCCATGTTCTTTGTTGACAAGGTTTTCTGATCAAAACTGTGCAGGCAACCGCATCCTTGATGAATCCAATGACCAACAGAACAAAGACTCTTCAGTCTCCCCATGGGCATCCCTCTACAGAACACTGCCTTCCATGAACATCTCTAATGAAGCAAATAGGGACACTCATTGTCCAGACAAAGACATCCCACCCAGGCCAGCAAGCCACAGGTAGAAGTCTTCACTACCTCCTGGCCAGCTTTCTTCCACCATGAAGAATGCTGTCCTCTGCTTTACCACTCTCTTCCTTATGAGCCAAGTTCTACCAGGTAACAAAATAAACTTTGTAGGGGCTTGGGTAAGAGGAGAATGCCAGACAGGTTATGGGAAAACAATGCTCAAAGGCTAGGCTAACACCTATGGCCCCAAAAGTTGTATTCACAAGAAATCCATAGGAGAGGCCTGTGGCTGACTCCTCCACTTTCCACTACAACTGTAGCTTAGAGAAAATGAAGTCAGGGGTGTTTCAAAGGCTCGCAGCCCCCTTTACTCCATTGTAAGTGTGAATTCAATTGGACAAAATTACTAGAAGTTTCTGGATAATTTAAGAAACTGGGATAATTCTAGTAAATCATTATCTTCAAAACTCTCTGTTTCTCTCAGCCACTCGCCTAACCTCTGTAGGTCCAGGCAGAGGTACTGGTGGTCTTGAGAGGATTGCAGCAGCTAACAGCGCCCCTAACCCATCACTGTAAAGTGCCAGCTTCCTTGGCCTCCAACCTGGGCCTGAAGGCTTCCGCCCAGACTCTGGCTTCCCTCTTTCTTTTCCAGGCTGTTAAAGTAGAACTGAGATGTGGAATGCTAGATGCGTATCTAGCATTCAGCATGAACCATAAGAAATACAAGAAACTGTACTTTGCTTGGAGCAATGTATACAGACTCCTGGACTTAACCTGGCGATGAAAACAAATCAGGGGGTATCCTAGAATTTTTAAATATGTAGAGCCAAGAGATAATAAGAAACATATTGTTTTACAGCAGAAGGAATCCATTCTCATCTTCCCTGGTGCCTGCAGGACCTTGAGGGGTGGGGTAGAGTCAGAAAGTGGTCTTTCATCTCAGTTACTTTGGCTGTGTGCTTTATACATACAAAGAGACACTGACGAAAACTGCACAATAGAAAATCTCATGGGAGGGATGATTATCTTGATAAATCAAGTTTCCTCTCTAAGTATGTGCAATTAAAGACCGCTTACTGCGAACTGGTTTGTAGAGCTTCGTGCTGGGGGAATGAAGGACAGCTTATAGCACAAATCCAACTCTGCTGCAGGAAATATGATATGGAAAATGGAAAGACAGAAGTGGAAAGAAAAATGGAGATCAAAAACCAGTTTAGCGGTGTAGATATTCGCTATGCACTGACTCCACGATGGAAAGCAGAGAACAAAGTCTACAATGACTTGGGTTGCTGCATGAGACTCCATCTCAATTTTTTTTTTTTTACAAAGTAGCAATTTATTTATTTATTTAGAATGAGCAAAGAGGGTACATTACAAAAACAAAAAGCTGACAATTACCACAAACATCATAGAATTCAGGAAAATTTGAGATTTGGAAAACCTGTTCTGTTTTTTTTTTTTTGTGTGTGTGTGCCTGTGGGTTTATCATTCTGGTTTGGTTTAGGGTTTTTTTTTTTTTTTTTTGGTTTTTGGTTTTTGTTGTTGTTGTTGTTTTAATGTGACAGGGTGTCTTGTAGCCCCTGAACTAGCTGCTTAGCTAGGGAAAGGCTTGAGCTTCTGATCCTCCTGTCCCCACCTCCCAAGTCCTGGGATTCCTGGGATACTAAATGCCTGTGGTGCCTGGGAATCAAGCCCCCCCTGCACACTGGGCAAGCACGCTAGCAACTGAGCTGTATTCCCACCATCCCTCTTAGTCGTGTTCTCATTGCCATTCAAGCAAAATAGAAGACAGGTGATGTTACAAAAAGAACATTGAAAAGGCCACTGCTTGTCACCAAAACGGAATGAGAAATGGTGTTAAAGAAGTCATAGGAAAGTGGGTCTCTCCCACAATCCCTAGGTAGACATTTGCAGTCCTTACCTTTGGGAGGTAAGGTAGGAAAGAGTAAGAGAGAGAAAGCACATAGGGAAATAGAAAAGGGTTCAGAATATAAGCTGCAGCTCTGTCCTCATCACCTCTAACACTAGGTCACTGGCTGAGCTTGTCCTTTCCCTCAGCCCCATTTCCCCTCTGCCAGGATGTTGACAGGGTGATCTGTGGCATTGTTCTGAATCTGGACTCTGTTTGCATGCCGAGTAGATGGAAACGACAGGGGTCCACACTATGCAGTCTGAGAACGTTAGTAGCAAGGAAGTAATTTTACAGAAGCACCCAATGTTACTTCAGTTCTTATGTGTCTACGTGGCAGGTCACCCATGAAGTTTTGTAATTTGAGGACTTAAAGTTCCACATATTCAGCTGTACAGCTAAATAGCACAAGGCATGTGAACTGAGGGTAACAGAAAATCCTCTCAACCCATTTGCCATAGCATAGAAATAACTGCAACTCGAGCCACTGGTCTTCAGCCATTTCCTGAATTCTCTCTGAATGCCAAGACTTCAACCTCGCTCTAAGGTATAGTGAGTTTTCTGAGATGCCGCCCTCGACCAATTCATCACCCGAGAGTGAGGCTGAATGACACAGTTATGGTGGGATGCAAGAGATACTGAGATGGAGAGACGCTGGGTGATTCGGCACAGTGATCTCCCCCTACTCCACCCCCAGTCTTCTAAGCTCTGGTGAACCTTCTTGCTGCCATGGGACAGCCTAATAGAAAGGGAGCCTGTATTTACAGTAGTTGGCTAGTGAAGAGAGGCAAAGCCTAGGGATCAATCAATTCAGATTTCAGTTGGCTTCTGTCCTAAAATGAACATTGTTTTATTTTTTAACACTGTGCTCTTAAAATTATTTTCAAATTTATATTCTAAATAAAAAAAACAATGGGCTATTGCATGAGTGTTTGATCTTCTCGTCCATTAAGTGAGTCTCTGTAAGAACCACAAAGAGTACATCAAATTAATGCACGTGAATTTTAGCGCACTTCGATTCAATAGCCTATATTGATTTGGCAAGATTTAAGAATTGGTATTCCTTAAAAACAATTCTTGAAAAGGGAGAGAATGTGGGTGCATTTAATTAAAACACATTATATGTATGGATAAGGTTCCTGAGAAATTAAAAAAAAAAAATGCTTACTGGCACAGAATGAAGGGGAAGAAAAGGGTTAGCTTTTGTGTTCCAGAATACCAAAAAATAAAAAATAAAAAAAAAAATTAAAAAAAAATACTGCCCTTGATACTCCTTTAACTCTTACTGAAAAGCTTAAGAATTTGTCAGAGAAGGCGTGGGTTTTGTTGCTCCTGAAAGTGTGTGAGTGCTTGCGACCACGACCAGCCTCTTGAGCAGTCAGACCTTAAGCCGTGAATCAAATACTATCCAATGTTTCAAACAAGTAAATGTGGTTTTTTTAAGAACTTGAACGATTCACTCTTATTGCAGTGGTTCCTACAGCAGGAATGTAACTGCAGCTAACTAACTACACCCACGAGTGAAGAATGAGTGATGCGGCATCAGAATGAACAGAACAGGCAACAGTGAGGACCTATGTGTTGACAAGCTATGTGGACACATGGCTCCCTTCCCCCAGAGGAATATCATCTTTCTACCAATGTCCTTGAGGCATATTTTATTTTAGGTAGCTGTTTCAGTTCCACTTGTGAAAGTTAAGTATGGAAATATGGGAGATAGATAGATAGATAGATAGATAGATAGATAGATAGATAGATAGATAGATGGCATATAATGTGTAGAGAGTTATCTAAAAGCCTTCTTAAAAATCAGTAAAGAAATGATATTAAGGACCAGTCTTGTTCTTGCTATTCTTGTTAGAAGGCAGGAAAGAGAAAGTAGGAGGAGTAAAGTGCTGCCTGTGGGCCTAGAACTCATGAAGCAGAGAGTACTGCTCGGCCACGAACGTCCGTTACTTCGATGCACTAATATTGCCAGATTTCTCAAGAAGAAATTTCCAAACATTCTGTGACATCAGATTTTTAAGTGTTGGTGTAAGAAATCAAGTAACAATGAAGGAACCTACAGAATTATCTCCAGATCTGACCCATGCCTCACTCCATGTACAAAGTGGAAGTTCATTCAGTAAAGTAACTTGTTCCAATAACCCTCTTCTGTATGCAGTCCGGGGCAACCTCAAGGAAATCTGTGAACATCCAAATGGTGCCTGCCGATCAAATTGCATTGAAACAGAAGTCTATGTTGGGAGATGTTTAAATAAACGACCTTGCTGCCTGCCCATGGGGCCTCAACCTAGAGTTGAGAGGGCTGAACCAAAGAACTCAAGCCTTTCACTTGGATCCTTCACATTCTGTATATTTGCCTCTCTCTCCTTTTCTCTCTCTCTCTTTCATTCTCTCTTCTGTATGTTTTTTTCATAGATTCTTGTTCACTTTGCAATAAATAATAAAACAAAATAGTGAAGAGAAAACTTGTTTTTTTATTATTATTATTATTGTATGTGTATGGGTGTTTCGGCTGTGTGTATGTCTCTGTACCACAAATATGCCTGGTGTAGCTGTGCACCAGGGAAGGTGTTGGAGTCCTTGAAACTGGAGTTGCAGACAGTTGTGAGCTGCCATGTGGTGCTGGGAATTGAACCTGGGTCCTCTGAAAGAGCAGCCAGTGCTCTTAACAGCTGAGCCATCTCTCCCTGAGAAGGCTGCATTTTAAAGTATATGTTCCGGGGCTGGAGAGACCGCTCAGTGGTTAAGAAAACCAGCTGTTCTTTCAGAAGACCTGGGTCCAATGCCCAGCACCCACATGGCAGCTCACAACTGTCTGTAACTCCAGTTCCAGAGGATCTGAAGCCCTGTTCTGGCCTGTGTGGGCACTGCATGCATGTGTGCACAGACAGACTTACAAATACAATAAAAGTAAATAAAATATTAAAGTTTGTGTTCTACATTCTTTCTGACTGTGGTTGAGTTCCCAGTGTATTCCGTCGTCCTGCCTGGTCTCGGTGAACTCCTGGTTCCAAATGTCTTCTGTGGGGCAGGGGAACCACTATCATAGCCCCTGCCATTGTCCGACCTCTCAGCCCTTCACCCTTTATCTGAGTTGACTTCCTTCTCCCATAGGAGAAATGCATTTCCTCCTCACTCAGACTTGCAGGGTCTCCCTTTCTGGAAAGGGAATGAATACACAAAATAAAAGTAGTTTTCCCCAGCCAGTCAGGCGTTCCTAGGAATCCAAGTCATGCAGAGAACAAAACACAGTCAAACAAAACACAATTGCTTCCATACCTCCTTCAAAAGCAGTTTAGTGTGAATTACAGTGAGCCAAACTCAAGGTCTGTGTGCTGTCTGGAAGCTTCGCAATTTCTTCCTCCATTTCCCCCTGAGCCATGGTGCAATACCAGCCCTGGTTTCCTCTTCCTGTTTCTAAACCCAGCAACCATGAATTGAGCCCATCCCACAGGCAACATTTGATCCATCCTTGGCCTCCATCTGACATGTTCTGGGACACTGGTGGCTCCATTTGCTCTACCCGTGTAATTCCAGACCATCTCCCCGAGTTAAGGTAAACTGCTCAGTCACTTTGACTCTTCCCACAATCTCAGATTCTCTTAGTCGGATGACATGTTCATGTGTTCCAGCTTTGGTGGGGTTGGGAGGATACACTGAGTGGCTTTCCAGTGCGTCTCCATTTTGTGTGACTCGGGCAGTGTAGCTGCTCTGTATAACCAATATCGATCGCATTGGAAGAGTTTTCTTTGGGGTATGAGGTTGTGAACTCTGCTCACTGAGTGAGTAGAGAATCAAGATATTTAGAAGACACGGTTAACACAGGATGTGTGTGTGTTTGAAAATACCTTAACTTGCATGATTAATATATATAAATAAATAGATGGTATTTAAAGGCATTTTATTCTGTCTGATTTGACTGAAAGAAAAATTTAAGTATCCCATATGAGCAACTCAAAACATTTAAAAAGTTAAAAACACATGAACTCTTAATAGCCCAGAGGTTTCTTTTTTAAAATTTCTTAGGGAGTTTCTTTTCCTTTTGCGTTTTGTTGTAAAGTTAACTCAATAAAGTAGCTCACCATCTTTAGCCTCAGGAGTTCTAGAGCCTTCTGACCTCTGTAGGTACCAAGCACACAGGTTGTGCACAGACACACAGGCAAAACACTCATACCTATATAATAAAAACCTTTAATAAATCCTTTTTACAAAGAAAGAAATTAAGAAAAAAGAAAGAACGAGCAAAAGAAAATCTAGGGAAAGATATGAGCAACTAGGTACAGCAAATCTAAGTTTCCAAACAAAGAAACTAGTCATGTTACCAACAAAGGGGAAATAAAGCAGCATGGCATCATCAAAGAAACAGATATGCAGGCAACAGCAGGAGATACAGTGTTCAGAAACGATCTCACATATCTTCAATCAACTGAGTCCCAATAAGGTAGCCAAAAATATGCAGTGGAGCAAAGATAACCTTTTGCATGGGGTTCTGGGGAGGGATGATACATAGACAGAAGGATGAAATGACCTCCATCTCTTACTGAAAGTGGACCAATGACCTAAATGTTAGCTCAGAAAAAAATAATAAACTGGAAGAGAATGGTGGAAAAATTTAACAAGTATGTTTGGTCCACACCCCAAAGCAAAGGCAGCAAAATGAAAATATTCAAATGGAATTATATCAAACTATAAGCAGCCTTCGCATCAAAGGAAACAACCTACAGAACCAAGGGACAAACTACTGAATGGGAGAAAATGTTTGCACACCATCTATCTGATAAAGAAGAGATATTCAAAATATATAAGGAACTCAAAATACAGTGAGAAAATATGATTTTTTAAAGGGGAATTTATTTAAATAGATCTCTTTCAAAAGAAATCATACAAGTAGTCAAGAAATATATGGAAAAAATCTAAGTGTCCAGAAAATGGATATGCAAATTGTGTTCATAATAAGGCATCATGTCATTGTGGGGTAGGGTGGCTATTATCAAAAAGAAAAAAAATCATAAAATGCAATGATATTGTGAGGAATAGGGACTCACACAAGGCCAGTAGGGATAGAAATTAGCACAGCTAAGAGAGGAAGCAGCGTGGAGGCTGCTCAGAGTTACAAACAAGACCACAGGCTCCAGCAATCACACAACTAGAAGGAAATGCAGTCACATTTTCAAGAGCTGCCCACCAGTGTTTGTTGCAACACGAGTCACATTAACGGGGAAGTGGAGCACAACACCTAATGACCCACCTTTGGAGGGAATAAGGAAATGTGATATCCATATCATGAATACAGTCGTTCAAAAGGGACAAAATTCTGCCGTTGTCGGGGATGTGAGTAGAGCTGGAGATTCACGGCAGTGCTCTGTGAAGCCAGCCGCAGGAAGACAACCCCATGATCCCACTCTATGCTGTCCTCGCCATGATGCAGACACTTCCGCACACAGGCAGCTGTCTAGTGAGCTCTTCTCTCGTGAAGCTCTTGAAAGGTATCTAAACCCTGTTTTCATCGGTGACAACATGGGTGTGAACCAGAAAACGGCATAGAAAGTGAAACCGGCCAGGAAGAGAAATGCAAATATAGTGTGTTCTCACTCTAGTGGAAGCTGATAACATCCAAGGAAGAGAGTAGACAAACCATCAGCTGCAGCAGGGGGTGGGGAGGAGTGAGAAGGCGGAGAATAGGTGCCAAGACACAGCACCAGTGAGGGGAGGAGGGTCTGCTGTTATACAGCACAGGAGAGAAACTTAGCATGCAATATTTTTTAATGTATTTTCTTGATTTTTGAGACGGTCATACACGTATTAAAATACAACGTATTTAAATCACATTCACCACTACTCCTCCCAGATCTACCCTTCCTCTTTACCCCTCCTCTCCCTATCCCACTCCCAACTTTGTGTCTTTATTTATTTATTTTTTTCAAGACATGCCCATAGGTGCAATAATGTTAAGAACTTTATAGGGTTACCAATAGCTTTCTACTCAGATTTAAAGCCCACTCTGTAGAAGGAAACACATGCCTAGTGCTATAAATCTGGCAAGGACCTATCGCCAGGGAGCTCATAGGCCCCAGTAGAAAACCTACTGCTATTTGATGAAGCTACGAAGATAGCATATTGTCCTCTAAACGTGTATCTCTCTGCCCATAGATTAGAGCAGCTCTAGGCTATCATTAGAGAAGACTCTAGGGCAATGGGTGATAGCTAACACAGAAACTGTTAAAGTACAGAGAATAAGTGACTATGGAATGCTCAGCCACAAATACAAATGGGACATCTGTCACACACAGAGAGAGACAGAGACAGAGAGACAGAGACAGAGAGACCAAGACACACACACACACACACACAGAGAGAGAGAGAGAGAGAGAGAGAGAGAGAGAGAGAGAGAGAGAGAGAGCACGTGCAAGGCTCAGGAACCATTGCAGAAAAAGGAAAGATTTTAAGATCCAGTGGTCAGGGGCAACAGGGTGGAACCATCTCTTCAGGATATGACATTAATTGTCCTTGTGAGCTCACGGTGTTTGAGATCCGCCTGCATATGACCTGCGCCACATCAAGCCAGTCAACACTACAGCACAAAATGGGAAGGAGGTCGTGTGCACCCCACACCTAACTGAGGACCTCTCAACAGCTGACACCTTCTCGGGGAAGAGTCGAGATTTTGTATAAGGTGTGGCCCCGGTAAGTGGAGCATGCTCCATTGGATAAGCTCACTCCTCGGGCATACAGGTGGCACAAAGGGGACCCAGTGGGCTATTAGAAGAAGATATGCAAATTATACAGTTCAAGTGAAGTGTTTGATGAGGTCTGAGGAAAGAGCTTCTGATTACCCTGATATGACCGTTACATGCTGTGTACATATAGCTAATTACAGCATTGCCCTCCACAAAGAGGTGTGAATAGTACATGCCATGTTAAAAAAAATTAATCCTGGATTGTGCTTTCCCAAAAAAAGAGAATTGGCTAAAGGTACTGAGCACTGGCAAGACTGAGAGCACATCTTAGAAGGAAAAGATTAACCTTCTGGTTTTCTACTATTGGGTTAATTTGTCACCAAATTTAGAAACTCTATGTTTTGGAATTACTCCCACAAAAGCAGTTTTACTTTTTTGCATGTTAAGCTTCACTGACCAGGAGGAACCACAGGCCCCCAGAAATGAATAAAAGTCCCGAACATCACATTTCTGACCACCTTTCACACTGCTGGCCACTCAACCATGAGATCCCATTCCTGCCTGTCTGTCCTCTTCTTCCTCTTTGCGGTGATGATGCTGAGAGGTAAGCTGGGAAATGACCCCAGGAGCAGGGATCCTTTGGATGGCTGCTGAGGTGTGCAAGTGTGCTTTGTCCCTCACAACTCAGGTGTCAGGACATGGACCTGAGTGTTCCAAAGTCCAACACCTTCACACCGATGAGGTCCAAATTCAGAAAGGAGTTGAGGAGCTCCAACAACATAAATGGGGACCAAGAGCCCCACCATTGAGAGGGGAAGCCCAAGTAGAGAAATAGAGGCAGAGAGACTACTTGACATAAAACTTAAGTCAATATACTCTTTAAAAAAAATGGCTACCACCATCACCCCACTCTCCAAAGGAGAGTGAAGATTAACTCATATTGCTGAATGACTGGAGGTCTACAGAGTCTATTGGTGAGAAGTGTATGCAAACACTAGAAGCAAATAAGAAAACCTGGGAACAGAAGAATTATGGGAAGAACAAAGACAATGGAACACTCCAATTAAAAAATAGATTAATTGTAAGGAAGCCTGTAAGAATCTGAATCGTGTTCTTGAAACCCACAATGCGCAGGTTTGAACGTTAGAATATAGAATCAAAATAAAAGCCACTCCAGTCCTTTTCAGGCTGTTTCCTGCAGATCCTTATAAAATCCTCTCCCCAGCACTTTTTGGAAAGAAGAGGGCTTGCTGGGCATACCTCGGGGAGCAGCAGACTGGAGAATAGCAACAGCACCACCCACACCAGCCAGATGCCCACATCTCTCAAGCGCTGTCCGTCCTCACTGAGAGAGAGCCCTCCTTGGTTCATCTCTGAGATTCTCTTGAGCACAGCCAAGGCCTGTCACTTGGGGATTTGGGCCTAATTTATGAACATCCACATAGCCACCTGGCACGCAGCTGGACTCTCCCCAAAGGACTCGCTACAATCCTCCATTCATTTCCCAGCTGTGGCCAGAAGGCACGGCTGCAGTGGACAGACTTGAAGGAACTAGTGGAGTAAAATATGACCATAATTAATTTGAACTTAGAAGGCACTTCAGTGGTCATGTCTTTCACTAACAGAAGCCATGCTCACATGAAGACTATGGTTCTACATATGTGGTTGCAACACTGAACCAAGTTTCCCTTCCTCTGGGTCATTGTTGTTGCCACCAATCCAAACGGACATAAAAAATGATAACTGATATCTGCCAGACTTTCACCTCAACATTCTTAACTGGGTGTTGAGGAAACTAGAGAGATTTTTTTTTTTTTGCCATGTTTGACAGCATTAAAGAACTGGGGCCTACTAAGCTATGTGAAATAAACCAGGTGTGTTATTTTATTTATACAAGGACCTAAAACAATCAAACTCAGAACAGACACTCCAATAGTGATTATTAGAGCCAGGAGGTGGGAGGAAGGAGGACTAGAGAGAGGTTGAAATAAAAATTCAGTTACACAATTTGATGAGTACGTTTTATAGACAAATTGTAGACCTTCATGTCAAAAGATAAAGGGGTTGGGCCTCATGGTAAGTCTTTTGATCTTGATAAAGTAAAGAGATTAATGAGAGGCTACTTAGGACCAGGGGAGAGCTAGCCTCCTGCAGAGCTCACAAAGGCCTGCATTGCAGGCCAGGATCCTTGATCCCTTCTGAGCAAGGCCAATCATCCCTCCTAGGCTTCTCCCAAATCAGTTACAACTTGAGGACAGAGGAAAGCAAAGTCCCACAGTTTCTCAGTGGAGGGGGAAACACTTCACATGCCCCAGTCTCTTATGAACCCAGAGTGTCTAAGACGGGGAGAGATCAAAGGATCTTCCTTTTATTGCATCTTTTTATTCTTTTTCCTGTTTGAGAATTTTATAGGTGCATATAATGTGTTTTGATCAAACCCACCCCTAATCCTTCTCCAATCCTTTATTCCTTCCCCCTCCACTTTTTCCCCCTCTCCCAAGATCATGTACCTTCAAAAAAAAAAAAAAAAAAAAAAGACACTATCTATTTCTGTGTAAGCATTTGATCTTTCTGTGTAGACAATATTCTGTCTCTCGTTCCAGAGGCATCTACTGGGGTTGTGGCTTTGTGCGCACTTCCAGTACTTTGAAAGTGAATTCACAATGTTTGTCCAATTTCTTCCTGTGCAGGAAAGGCTGGTGTCATCCCAGGGGAAAAGCAGTGCATTTTGTTGAAAGGGAAATGCAAAGAAATAGCATGTACCTCCACCGATGACACCATTGGCGAATGTAACGACGATCTGAAATGTTGTAGAAAATGGTGGATTTTTGAACCCTACCCAACACCGGTTCCCAAAGGAAAGTCTCCTTAGAGGGGAGAACACCATGAGCCTTTCAACCTCCAGAAAACACAGACAAGCTTTGCAGACTTCTGCCTAACTACACTCACCTCCCTTGCCTGGAAATAAATGTCCTGAGCCCACACTTACTGATCGCTGCAAGCCTCTCATGAATCTATCAGAAGTTAGTAAAAGGGGAGGGGAGACCCATCAGAGATTCAGGATGCTTTAGAACACCTCCACCCAGTGTCCCCTTCGTTGTTTTTTAAAACAGAGTTTGAGAAATTATCTGGGATTTAACATAGCAGTACTTCCATCTCTAAATTCAATAACAATACTAATAACTAGAAGAAAATGTGTGAGAAGAACCTCAGACCCTGAAAATGTTTAAGCAAAATGAGTGTCCAATAAAAAAGATCAACATAAAGCTTTAACATGTAAAATAATGAATATGAAATGCTTGCTTGGCTACAACTTAAATACAAACACTTTCTCTCATTTGCTTCTGAGAAAATAGCATTTTTTTCCGAGCTTGGAGTGTGGCTCAGAAATAGAGTACCTGACTAACCTCGTTCAAACCACTAAATATAAATATCTTTCTCTGCTGATAAGATCTACTTGGAGCATATGGATAGATGTCTGGCTTGCTGACCGTGTACCTGAGAACTATAATCTAGTTCTATAAACTATAGTAGGCTATAATCCCTACTCCTTCTGCCAAAACACAACCTCAGATGACAGAATCGAAGTTCCGAAATTTCAAAAAGATAACATTTCTTTACGTCTATCTCAAAAGATATTTTTAAAAATCCTAAAGTATAATTCTGGAAGGAAGTGACTTCAAATTTTTCTTACATCTATTAACACAAAGGAGTAACTTACTTGTGAAAATTTAAAACGTGCTTATCGGCTACTGTATCCAGTAAGCTACTTGAGACAAACACACGGCTTTGTGTAATAATAGTGGTTGCACAGGTATAGCAATTGTGAGCAAATCAGATAGATCATAAATAAGCCAAAGTGGAATACATAAATGCATAACACTGTGACTGGTGATTCTGTGCTCCTCTACTTAATAGCTACGGTAGTTTAAAAGCCCATGGCAGACACATGGAATTTATTAACAAAATCACCCAAAAGATACAATGACTTCTCACCATCAAGAGTCAAACCTGTTTTATCTTCCACAGGTGAAGATAAAAAAAAAAACAACATTCATGTCTTCATTCATTGACAAAGTCTCAACATTTCTGTGCATCTGTACTATATTGAAACTTAAGGATGCCCTGTTATACTCTGTGCCCTGCTTTGGGTACAAGAAAATCTGGCCTGGTTGGTTTTTGTCAACTCGCCACAAACCTAGACATATCTGGAAAGAGGAATCTAAATTGAGAAAATGTCTCTGTAAGATTGGCCTGTGGGCAAGCCTGTGGGGCATCTTCTTGATTAATGGTTGAGGCGGGAGGCTCCAGTCCACAGTGGGTGGGTGCCACCCTAGACTGATGGTCCTGGGTTATATAAGAAAGCAGGCTCAGCAAGCCAGTGAGGGGCGTGCCTCCATTGCCCCCGATCCTGCACTGAATTCCTACCCTGGCTTCCCTCAGCAATGGACTGTAAGTTGAAGTAAACCCTTTCCTCCCCATGCTTTGGTCATGGTATTTTAGAAGTCCTAACTAAGACAAAATCAATCCCTCTTGCTCCACATATAGACACAAATTTAACAAAATAACCCCATTGATTCAATAGCATCTTTTATGTGTCCTTTTTGCCTTATGGGTCATGTGTCTATGTAGACAATTTTCTGGCTTCTTCAGGCAAACAGAGCTTTACTTCACTAAACACTCTTGAAATCTCATTAGCTGGAGGGATGCTAAAACAGGCCAAGAAGGGGTTGTTGGTTTTTTGTTTTTGTTTTGTGTGTGTGTGTGTGTGTGTGTGTGTGTATGTGTGTGTGTGTATGTATGTGTGTGTGTGCGTGTGTGCTTGTGGATGTAAGTGTATAGGGGTGCCTGCAGAGGCAAAAAGAGGACATCAGATTCCCTAAAGCTGAAGTTACAAGCAGTTGTGACCTGTCTGACGTGGGTCCTGGGAACCAAACTCAGGTTCTTGGTGAAAGAACAGCAAGAGCTCTGAAGCACTGAGCCACTCTCCAGCTCCTCCTTACCAAATGTCTAGAGAGAAATTAAAGTCTGAAATCAAAACTCAAAGAATGAATCTCTCTTAAGACATTCTGAAGCCCAAAGACATCAAAATTCAAATAAATTAATGCCTGAAATGAAATTATCTTTCCCTCCCTGGAATCCAATGTTTTCAATTAAATTAAACTGAAAACTTAAGCATCAGTTTTTGATTCTTCATCACAAAGATCCTTCAGTGAGTTGGGAAGCTTTAATTAATTCACTATCAAGTCTCCCGTGGGCTTCACATTCCATCAAAGGGTTAGACAGGGAAATGGAAACTATGAAAAACTGAGAAAGCCGCAAATATGGCTCATTTGCGCACCACACTAACACAGAGACCTGAGGTTAGACCCCCAGAGGCCTGTTTAAAAGCCTCCCATGGAGCCACGAGAGTGAGTGTAAACCCAGTCTTGGGATAGCAGGCAAACAGGAGCTCATTGGTCAGTGTGTCTAGCCAGGCTGATGTGCTTCAGGCTTGGTGAGAGATGCTCTCAAAACATAAACTCGGAGGGCAATCAAAGCAAGACCTCCATCCACACATTCAGACATGTACACCACCACACACAATAAATAAAATTAAGAAGAAAGGAATAGCAAAATCAAAAGAAGGCAAAATAGAAGTTATAGTGCTGTCTCCTCTACAAAGAAGAAACAAAAGAAGTGAGCAATGACAGTCAAGAGTAAGTTGCCATGGAATTCAACAAGGAAAAGATGGGATGTGGTGGTTTGAAAGATAATGGTTCCTAGGCCCCTAGGGAGTGGCACTATTAGAAGGTGTATCCTTGGAGTAGGTGCAGCTTTGCTGGAGGAGGTGCATGGGTAGGGGGTGAGCTTTGAGGGCTCAGAAGCTCAAGCCAGATCCTGCTGCCTGACAGTCTGAATATGGAACTCTCAGCTCCTTCTCCAGGACCATGTCTGCCTTCATGCTGCCATGCCTCCCCCCACACACCTCATGATGACAATGGACTAAACCTCTAAAACTGTAAGCCATCCCCAATTAAGTGAGTTCCTTTATAAGAGGTGTCATGGTCATGGTGTCTCTTCACAGCAACAGAAACCCTAAGACATCATGGAGACCTGGAATGCTGGCTATAGACTCATGACCATGGAACTTCCCACAAGCAGAAGAAAGGGCAAACACCATAGCCAAAGAGTAATGAGTCTGAGTCTTTTTGGTGTCTTTAAAAACACAGACATGTTATATAAATATGTTTTTGCTTCAATCCCACGTGTGGGATATGGGATTGCTTCAGATAGCTTATGTTTGGAATTTAGGGACTTGTGAGAGGATTTAAATTTAAGAGCCCCAAGAGGGCCTGCTGCTACTCCTGCTGCTCCTGCTGCTCCTGCTGCTGGTTGCTGGTTGCTGGATTGTTGGTTGCTGGTTGGAGATATCCTGACAAAGAAGATCAAATTTAACCCAAGGAGCTCGAATTCCCTAATCAACAGGAAGTAATCCAGCAATGTCTACGCCCCCTTTACCTTCTAACCTTCTTTCTCTCCTACCTAGTGTTGGGGGTTGAAAGAGATAGGGATGCTGTAGGGAGGTAGGAAACAGAACCCAATAAAGTTGCCAAAAGTCCAGCTATACTGAAGAAATTCTATTCCTTTGAATTTCATCAGTCTTAGCAACATGAGAGTATCATGCTCATCAATAGCTGGAATCCAAATTAGGGGACCTAGAATCCTCACAGTAGCTCTGCTTCAGGAAAGGAACTTGCCTTGCCCCACCCTCAACCCATGAGACCAGGCAGAGACACTACAGTGCTGTTTGCAAAAGTCACTGTGAAGATCCATTCTTCCTGGAAGAACACTACTTTCAGTGTATAAGCATCTCTGGGATTCCACCACATTTGCTCCAAAGTCTGAAGTCCCATTAACCTATGTAGACCTGCAAAGCAGAACCCAATACAACATAGTGACCTATGTTGTACAACAGTACAACGGCAGGCGTTCAACACAGTGGGAAATTGCGGTTCCCCAAAACCTGAGGAACCAAAGGGTTTGACCCTTGTGATTGGAGACTGATCTCCTCCTCCACCTCTGTTTCCCACTGCTGCCTTCATCAAGTGCCAAAGCCTTTTGAGGGTGTGCCTTCCTCACTGCAGCAATAAAAGCACAGGCACGCTAAAGGTGAAGGGCTTCGGAGAGATACTCCATGAAAGTAGAAACAAAAATGTACTCAGAAGTAGCTACACCAACCAGCTAAAACAAGTTTTAAATCCAAAGTTTGAGAGGGTGGGAGGGAAAAGGAGGGGGGAGGAAGCAATAAACAGATCAATTCAATATGAGGAAATAACAGTTATATATACACCCACTGCTAGAGAACCTAATTAAACAAGCAAAAGCAAACATTCTGGGGCTTATGAAATATCACTAAATATAGTGTTGATTGTCAATTTGACATGATCTGGAATTGCCAGGGAGATGGCCCTCTGGGCCCAGATATAGTGTTGTCTAAGTATATCCTCAGAACTGAAACATTACTTCCTAAAGGGAAGAGGGAGGCTCAAAAGGCACAAAACTCTTACAAAACCTGTAAGACTCGGGAAGTCACAAGCTCCCTGAGGCCACTGAGCAGGAAACAGTGCAGAGGAGAAGGGTCCTCAGTGCATCTGGATGCTGGGCCAGGGGCCTTAGGCTCAGGAGTCTTGCCTGTAAGCATCTGCGCTTACTTACCTGGCCAAGGTCGCCTGATATGACCATGAGGAATGAAACCAGGCTCAGGTTGGAGAGACCACAGCACAACTGAGGCTGTGACCATTTTGTTGAGAGCAATTGGATTTTTTTATACCTTTATAAGGAACGAAATATAATGACAATTGCCAGGATCAATACAGTTGTTGTTTTCAG